CTAAAAGGAACTATGCCGCACGTAAAACTTATGCATATAGGTCCTTTTAGCATAAATACGTCAAATTCTCGTACGGACTCGTTCCGAAATGCAGAGAACTTGCAAGCTCACTGAGGTAGAAAGTTCGGTTACGAGGGCTGAACTTCAGTTCAAACGGAATACTGAGTTTTGGGTTCATGCAACTGAAGTTTTCAGTCGTGCACACTGAATTTCGGTTCAGACAAACGATAACGAAATACTCGATGAATAGTACGTAGTACGAGTCTGAGTAACGAAATCTTCAGTTAACTTAACCGAAGTTCGGTTCCCATGACCGGAAATTTTGGTTATAACTGGACTGAGAATTTCAGCGTTCCATGTACGTACCGCAGATTCCCTCTCGCTCAGACGAACGTGTGAGGAGCAACTTCATCATCAGAAATCACGACCGGAATTATACTGCTACTACTATTAGTACTTAATTGGTAGTTAACTAAGAAATTATTACGCTGTCAAATCCGTTAGTCTCTTTTCGTCTCCTTTCTCTGATCCTTCCCAGTCAACCTACTACAAAATTTCATAGTCTCAACTTCTTGAGCCATAGGTGCTGGCTGACCCCGGATCGATTCCGGGGATTCCTGCAGGTCCGCGAGACTCGGAAAAATTCTCCGTCGGCACGCCTTTGATGTGGCGTCGATGGTATCGGGTTTCCTTGGCCCGTTAAAGAGCCAATTACGGGGTTTTAGCTGATGGTTGTCGACGCCGCCGCGGCCGCGGCTGGGACCGTCGCCGTCGCGTCGTCGCCCTGATGTGGACGTGTCACGGCTCACCGCTTAATCCAATCTTCTCCGTCCAGCTTTCGTCCCACGTTGTCGTCTCAGCCCGATCCAGCGTTGTGTAGCCGGCAGAGAAAGTATCCTACATTCCTGGAAAACAACTCAAATGAAGAGCAATTTTCTCCACAAAAGTAGGTGTGATCGGCATGCCATCGCTGACAGAATTTTACTTAAAAATCTTCTGTGAGTAATTTTATCGATCATTTTTAGGGTAAATTTTCGGTTCGCGCTGCCCCGCTAAAGAGGAGCACACCATCGAGCCGATTATTGAAATTGATAGACAAAGCCATAGACAAAGAAGACAAAAGGAATTTGGAGGGATCCTATTGGAGGAAACGGGTGGTTGCAACGGATAAAGGAGGAAAGAAATAGACTAACTAACGGTAACCTACGAGAGACCCTTTACTTAGTCCATAATTTACCCTCTTAGTGTATAGGAACCACCCATTCCAACCAGTAGGATCGCTCCATACTCCCTATGTCTTCTTTGTCTATCGCTTTGTCTATCAATTTCAATAATCAGCCCGCTGGTCTCTAATTTTGTAAAATACTCGAGCTGTTAGAGCGCATTTGATAAAATCTTGGGTATTCACCCGGGTACTGTAACCGTGCAAGGTGAGCAAAAATTGTGGGTACTTGTCAATATATACTGCAAGATTTCATATCGACGGCGTAAGTCCGCAATCACATATCTCGTTTGCGGTGTCTAAAAATCTCCGCCTCTATGTTATTTTTTTTTTTTTTAGAGGAGAACAAATTGACATCATACCTTGAAGTTTATGGAGAATTTTCTTCGCACAGAGAGGAAAAATCGCGGCAGTTTTAAAGAATTGCCTTTGGGTGGTTTTCCGTTTAAAAAATAAAGTATGACAGGAAGTTTGCAACTTCGCCAACCGAGTTATTTGATTACCGACTTACACCGTCGATAAGTGCATGTATTTGTGCGATTCTCTGTCAACTTTATCTGAGAACGTTAGTTTTTGCCGGAAAAGTTCTCGGAAATGCATACTTTGTCCCTCATAATCACATCCTACACTGCACAGCAACCAGAAAGTAAACCCCCCAGATATTATGGTTCGTGCCGTCTTTTGCTCGTATTACCGATTGATCGAAGAAACCACACAACGTGCACCTCTTCCCTCGACGGCTTCGTCGGATAGTCTTCCACCGTTTGATAGACCTCTTCCTGCGCGTAGCTCTACACCTGCGGGCGACGCCGACCGGTAAGTTGATGCAACACCGTCGGAACTCATCATTGTCACCGGAGCGAGGACCGAGAACCGAGGACGTCCCGAAGGAACCAGAGGAGGAAGCAGCTCGGGTTCAGCGAGCATAAGCGACTTGGCCGGGCGGGCGGCTATTGTCATGTTCCCGGAGGGTGGGGGGGAGGGCGGGATGGTTACTTGGTCAGTAAACTGGGCCGGAGCCCGGAGGAGCTGGAGTCGCACGCGGTTCGGATTTCGTGCGCCGCGGGGGCGGACACGGACGCCGACGCCGCCGACGCGACGCGAGCGCGACGAATAGCCAACGTGCGCCACGCCAATGCCGCCGACGTAGCCTCCTCAAAAGAGAGGAAAACGTGGCGTTTAGGACCGTAAGTGTGTGTGATGTTCGACGGGTATTCCTGATCCGACGGTCTGCGGGATTATAGGGATTTTGAAGTGTGTTGGATGAGGATGCGTTAGAAATCGGGAAGGAGAAGGAGGAGGGAAAAGGGAAAAGAAGAGGAGGAAGGAAAATAATGAGGTGAGGAAAACGGAGAATCAGATGAAGAAGTGGAGGAAGAAGCCAAAGGAGAATAAAATGAAGAGGAAACGTCGGAAGAAAGAAAGGAAAGAAGAAAGAAGAAGAAAGAAGCTGAGGAAGAGGTTAAATTGAACTTTCCTCGTCGTTCAGTTTTTCCTTTATTTCTTCCAGTTTTTCCTCTTTTTCTTCTTCATCCTCTTCTTTTGTCTTCTTTTCTTCCTCTTATATTTTATCTTTCTCGTCGTTTTTCACTCTTTTTCTTTTTCTTCTTCTCCTTTTCTTCCTCATCTGCTACTTTTTCATATTCTTCGTCTCTTTTACTCTTCTTTTTTTTCTTATTCTTCTTCCTCTTCTCCTCCTCCTTCAACCTCTGATTTCTGCTGACATGTGTATTAAGGTCTCAACGGTATTTCAGTTACGTGTTTTTCCAAACACCCCATTAAAAGGTGGCCTTCCTGAGTGTAGGTATTGCTTAGTTCCACGTGATTGTAGCTATAGTTATGGTTAGTCTCCAATCTAAAAGGACGAGTCGGTTACACTTGCGGAATTTAGAGGATAGAGAACGAGGATATGGGCATGTTAGTTGAAACTATTTCGTAAATAGTGGAAATTTAAAGATAATAAATAGACGCTAGGTGGCAATTTTTTGAAATATTCGAAAGTTCTTTCACTCAGCAGCATCCAAATAAAATATCCTAAGCCATGGCATAGTTTCCTCATTTTCCCTGCCGCAAGGCCAATTTTTCCCGACTTGGTTACACTCACTCAGACTGAATTATGTTCGGAATGAGGAGTGGAATCCATCCGAGAAAGCATCCGCGATAAATTGCGCGAAGTTTCTTTCTGGGACGATTTTCACGAATATTTCATCGGGATCGGAATGAAAAAACTCTTCCGGTGCATTAACGAATGCAAACGGTGGGTCGTTGGTGAGGAATGAATGGTGCTTCCTCCGCGCCGGTCGGTCGGTGGTCGGCCGTGGGACACTTGACAAGTTGTCTTGTTTGTAGTTTGTTCACGCGTCATTTACCTCGTCGCCGCTCGGCATCATCTCCGCGGGCATTCGCCGCCGCGACGCCCCCGACGCAAAAAATGACGCCGGTGCTGCTCATCATGATGCACCGACATTTTTATGGATGCACAAATGGACTGATTCAGTCAGTGCTGTCATCTTATTTTATCAAGGATTCCGGGGTTCCATGAATTAATTGCATTTTCCAAAAGTTCTGAGAAAAAATCCAACTGGTTTTAAAAGCTCCGAGATACAATTCCGAAAAGCGCCCATATTCAATTCCAAAAATCGTCAAATTTGATTTAAAAAAAAAAAAAAAAAAAAAAAATCATTGAATTTGATGAAATAATTGGTCATACTGACAAAAATACCCCAAAATTCCGAAAATAGCTGGAAATTCCAAGAAATTTTCAAAATTCCGAGTAAAGTTCCTAGAATTCGCAGAGGTTCCGAAATTCTGTATTCATTAAGGGAAATGGCAATACTGAACTTAGTGGCTACATCATTCGATATTATCGCAGCTCAATAATGGTTTCAATGTGAACAGAAACGTAACCTTCTAAAAGCATTTACCCCCAGTGACATCATATTTTAGGGGCGAGGAACAGTCTGGGCTATTTGTTGAGCGTAAAATTAATCAAATGACTGTTGACTGCAGGGGTGAGCAATTATTTGCCAGGCGGTTATCGCAAATCATGCTATAAAAGTTTTGATGTAAGTCAGTTGCCTTTTCTACCCTAGCGTTTAAGTCTCTGAGCTATTAATGGGACTACATCTTGTGACGCGGTACAAGAACCTACTGTATATTTCTTGATCATTTTAGAGACAACATGTGTGCCATTACTTTCTCAAGATTAAAGTAAGAAGGAACTATTGAAATATGTCTTTTTCAAATAACTATTCGTGCTTTTTGGTATGTTTGTTGCTTATTCGCCGGAATTGAAGGCGGACCTCAAGTAAAAGATATCTATCAATAATAGGTTTCCGCATGATCTATTGGTTTAGCAAAGTCTAATTGTGCTTTTCCTCGTCTTTTTTCTTTCGTTTCATTTTAGCTCCCTCACTGCGATAGAGAATGGAGCAACCACTTCTCGTGCACCACCTTCAATCCGGCCTTGCCGCCATGTGCAAATATTATTTTCTGTATGATGAATAAAAACATGGTATGAAGCAGATCAAGCTTTCTTTACTTTGTTGTTAAAGTATCGGAAGAAGACTCGCAATAAAAACTTAAAAAATAAATAGAGAAATATCATGAAACAGGAACTAAAAACTAGAAGTAAAGTAATGATATCCAAGCAGAGAAATTCGAAGAGTGTTGTGTCGGCGGTGACTGGCCGTAGATGCGCGGCTCCACCGTGTCTGGCCACATGCTCAACCCAAAACGTGGCTTTATCCAGGGCCACAGAGCTGAAATCGTGCGATACTGCAGATAGTTTTTTCGCGTTCTTGGAGTACCTGAAATGGAACGAAGTTAAATGAATCACAATCAAAACAATTGAGGACCGTCTATTTTTAGAGATTTTAGGGCTCATATGATAGATTTTATGGTCCGGATGACTATTTCCACAATGATTTTGGTCGAAGTTTGGAAATGAGAGTCTAACTTCCATTTAAAAAGTAGATACCCAGAGTCAAACTTGTCAAACTGTACCCAGAAGATAAATCGGCGACCAAAAAGGGGATAGAGCCGGGCTTTGATCTCTCTAGTAGAAGGTCTTAAAAATTTAATATTGAATAGTCTTAGCATGAATACTGTAAACTAGAGGAGAACCTGTGGTGCTGGAAGTTTCATTCCCGTAAATGAGTAGTATTCTTACTTTTTTAAAGCAAGTATGGGCAAGGACATTTCCCCCAAAAACCTCACAGAGATTGCTGAGAAGATGACCCAAATATCGCAGAAATGGCCTCCGAGACAACACCGAAAAAAGTAATATGCTGTTTTAGCACCTAGGATGTCAAAAATGTGTCTGGTGATCCCAAGATGCTACCTCTACTGCCTTCGCAGTTAACTTTACATCCTATGAATGCAAATTCAACTGCGTGGGCAATCAAGGTAGCATTTTAGGATTACTAGACACTTTTTTGACATCCTAGGTGCTAAAACAGCATACCACTTTTTTCAGTGAATCCACACGATCCAACTGAATAAGTACTTCATATGAGGGGCTTGGAGGACAAGGCGCATAAGTGCAGTGTTTGCGATTTTGAGGAATAAAATACGTGTTCGTGTAAAAAAGTTTCGAAATTACATGGATCCTTATGCCGGGAGGAAAGTTTAAACTGACGTTTTAATGCTTAAAAATTGGAATTTGGGAGGAAAATTTTCACGAAATATGCGTTAAGACTAGTTTTATTTGAAATCATTGATATCTCAATTTTTCCCAAAACTGCACTTATGCGCCTTGTCTTCCAAGCCCCTCATTTATCCTTACCTCGCTCCGTGCAGTACCTCCTCGATGGCCTCTTTGATTTTCTCAGATGAATACAGATCGTTCAAGTGAAGCCGCACTCCAATCCCCGCATCCACCATTTTCGACACGAGACAGTGCTGATCTCCGTATCGCGGTATGCCCACCGTTGGAACTCCATAGTGCATTGCCTCCTGGAGGCTCTGGAAACCACCATGCGTTATGAAGAGTTTTACTTTCGGGTGCACTGTGAACATTTTACGAGTAAAAGGAAATCATCTCATGAAAATTCGACATTTTCCTTTAAAGCCTACCTTCGGTTTGTCCACCTTTCGAGACATATTTATTCATTTTATTTATCTATTTATTTATTTATTTATTTGTACATGGAGCCTCTTCTTTGAAAAACTAATACGCACGTCAGTATAAATACATTTCAGGTATTTACACAGAACAATTTACACTATCTACAGTACATGTCTATACATCACTACAAATTTCTACAAATGTGAACCAAATTTACCAAAATTTGAATTGCCAATTTTTACCAAAATGTAAACAGAATTCGTGAACCTACAAAAATTACCCATTCGTTGTTCATGATACATGGACTGCAATTTGCAATTTGAAACCATAAATTCTGGCTCATCTAAAAAAAAAAAACTTATGTGCGTATGGAAACTAATGGCACATACGTAGTTTTTAAACCGGGCCAGAATTTATAGTTCCAAATTGCAAATGCAGTCCATGTATAGTTATGAATTATACGTAAAATGAAATGTTTTTCCTTAAAATCTTACTGTAAAAACTCCTTCGTAGCATAAATAGGGTTTTCCTCATATGTTTTTTCAGGTTTTTTATGAGTTCACAGAAAGTTCACAGGAATTTTCCAAGATTCATCAAATGGTAAAACCTAAAGAAAAGCGAGTTTAAATTGCGTATTTTGAGCTCCTAAGCGCTCATCATCGTGAAAGTCGTGCGTGGTCATCAAGGAAGCTTTGTCAATAGAAAAAATAATTACCCACCCAAAATACCGTGTTGTGGCAACCAGCTTTCCATCAGAATATTTTGGGGTATGTCTGGGGCCGCAGCCTCGAATTTCGCTTTCCAAACGACTCGATATCGAGGTGATAGCTCCCTGAAAACTTTGAGAAAATTACGAAGCACCTCAGCAGGCATTGATTCAACTCTTATATTGCTTCCAAAGCTGAAATAGATTACCCCCTCCTCTGCGCCATCCAGCCAACTTTGCAGAGTCTGGAATGAAAAGAAAAACGGTTATTCATAATCAAAAATGAAACGTTAATCAGGGCAACTGCTTACATGACAATTGTGCCTATAGCATTTTACACTATGGAAGTAGAAAATTTTGCATGGTAGGTACAGTGTCGAGGCGTGAACGATCGATTATCGATATTTCCCCATTTGAAGCTGTGGTAAAGAATCGATTATTAGGGTGTTCGCTGCGAACACCCTAATAATCGCTTCTTTTCCATAGGTTTAAATGGTAGATCAATCGATAAATCGCAATGCACGCCACGCCACTGATAGAATAAAAATGGAAATCAACTTCTCATGAGTTCGAATATTCTTTTGGAATTTTTACCAGCTTGTTGTTCCTGATCTCCTGGTTTTGTCCTATTTTTATTATTGGCCAATGGCCATTTCGGGAGTTGTTTTTCCCATCTGCAGGTCCTCTTTTTCTTTGCGATCACTCCTTGTTAGATTTCTTTGTGTTTGAGCTTCATTCCTAATCTTTTAAGCCACGATGAGCTTTGTCGAGTGAATAAATACGATAAAAAGTAGATAGAAAAAACAACTCCCGAAATGGTCATCGTCAAATAATGGAAGATCGGACTAAGCTAGGAGCTCAGGAATAACAACCAGGTACAATGTCCGTGATAAGAGAGAAAAAATCAACAAAATATTAGAATATGAGTGTCGAATTCAACTTTCAACTTTTAAACCTGTAGTTTGCGCACGCTTACTTTTATGCAAGATTTCAAAGTAACTACTTTTCCAGTCCGAATATTATGAAGTTTGTGATATCATAATTTAATCAGATTTTTGCAAGAATATGGATCAAAATATGTAACTCCTATGAAAATGTGGCTCAACACGAACATTATCGTCACAGAATGAAATAAATGCATTACTTGAGGTAGCGGCTGAGGAGTTTTCAAGTGCAGGGGTCCAGTTTCTATGATATTCGAACTCAGAGATCTTGGATAAAAATTCAGTGAATTTGACGTCACTAACGCAAGACTAATATTTTCATAGCACCCATCGACAAGACTTTCTTCTCCAAAACCGTACATTCTCTTGAAATGCTGCTTGGCAGCGCCATCCATAATGCGATATTTATGATAAATCATCCATATATCTCGAGACCAGTTATTAAGTTTTTGCCAAAAAGACATTTTGTTGGTGTAATCGCTGAGGAGAGAAGGCGCAAAGGACGTATGAACCATGTTTCCTATATATCTTTCAGCAAGAACGTCCACTGGAAATGATGAAATGGACACAATGGGTACAGCGCCAGTTAGTTTTCGTGCCATCCCGCATGTGTGCGGTATAAGTAGAGCCTCCACGATGACCACGTCGAAGACAATTTTCTCCGATTCCACGCGCCTGAAATGAAATTGCAGAACATATAGGGTTGTATTCATAATAAGGCGGAACGATGATTTCGACTACATTTTGCAATTGAATCAGTGAGAACGAAAACACACCAAATCGAAAAAGTGAAACTAATCAAGGCACACACAAAACTGTACAGTAAGTGAAGAAGCTAGTCCAAGAAAAATAATTTTGGTGCCGAAAAACACGTGCTTAAGGACACCTTAAGGGTCCAAGTTGGAACAGATGCGCTAACGTCAACATTCTTTATGAAAATTGATAGTCTTGAATTTATTAAAATTGAGCAGCAGTTACAGAGTTGGTGTGAGCGAGGTTTTCGTTCTCCCTGGTTCAATTAGGAGCTATAATTTCAGGCTCAGTTTGACAACAACGTGTGTACCATTAAAGTTCCCCATGCACAAACGTGCTTTTGCGGAAGAGCCAGAAATTGTAGTTCTCAATTACAAAATGTAGTCCAATTGGACGTATTTAAATCAATAGTAAATATTTTCATCGTTACCAGGCCCTGGGACCTATAAGATCAAATTTTTGACAAGACCTATGTTATACGATATGCATGGAGATGGATCAAACGATTCATTTAGATTTTAGGGAAAATGTCTGTCTTTAAGCGTGTATTTACTAATGCTAGGACTACGAATATTTTGAGCTTCACGCGAGGTTATGTTCGACCGTCTCTTCTCCTCTAAGCGCAAAACACCTAATTCGCGGACGAATATTGCTTACACAACAGCCGGCACTTTGTGGCCTTTTAAGGGCCGCTTCCTGCTTTATGTCTCAAACATTTAAATAAAGGGGGCTCAATTTAGAGGTGGGCAGAGAGCGTGTAGAGGATTCAGAAAATGAAAATGTCAGGTTAAAGAAATAAACAAAGGGGGCGCCCAGTGAAAGGACGTTGAAAGGTGGTTTTAAATAAAATTCCGGAGTGCTAAATCCCCCAAGGGCTGTGAGAGGACAAGGAACTGTGGCGGTAAGGCGTCGCAGATCGCCAGAGAGCGCTGTCAAAGCGGATGAAATGGGCTCATCTGGAGACAATTACCATCCGATGTGTGGAATAATTAATTATATAATGCAGCCCAATTTATCTGAAAAGGGAATGAACCATAGGGGAAAATGAAAATTCTGAGAATCTTGGATCTTATGTTATACACAAAGCTCAAAACTTGTAAAATTGGCCCACTCAGAATTGTTTAAGCATAAAACTTGGTATGAACTGTTTCCAGGTGAAAACAGTAAATTATTTTGCCTTACGCACCGCTCAAACTGCAAGAATGTCTCACTACCAAATTGACTTTCCGCTGCCTTCGCAATTGCTGCCCAACCTATTTTTAGCATTTCGTAATTGGACATTTCTCCTTTCAGCGACAATACGGAGTTTTTCAACTCATCCGCAAGAACCTTGTAGGAGAACGAACCATCAATGAATGTGTAGTTATCATGCTGCTCCAATTCCTTTAAAATAAAATTAAAAAAATAAAAAAATAAATAAATAAATAATTATATCTATACACGAAGGTTGTCTCAAAGAAATGTCCTTCCGTTACTATTCAAAGTATTACTGTTGAAAAATATGCGTACGAGCATTATGGGATATCGTACTGAAGTCGCACTGCCGTGTCACAGACATGCCTAATAATTCCTCTGATAAAAAACAAGCTTTTAATGTGAGAGGCTGTGACTTGTCGCTGGAAATCCAGAACATGTAACATGCACTATGCACATGCGTACTTTTTCCAGAGTGCGTCACTACAACATGCGGTAACGTAACGACTCGAAAAATATGGAAATATTTTAAGAAGAACCAAAAGCTTTCAGTTTTTGAGTTACCTGCACTTTATTCGGGCTGACCACGAAAAGTTCATGACCTTTTTTAACTAACTTCTCTGTCAAGGCCATAATTGGACGTTGATGGCTAAAGGAAGGCGTCGGAAACAAGACCAAAATTTTAAATGAGTAAGTAGTTGAGCAAATCATTAAACACAGCAAGAGGAGTTTGAACATCATGACTGTTTGAGAGAATCAAAATCGTAGACTGAAAAAGTGAATTATTATTTAGAAAGCTTGTAATCATTTCAAACTACAACTATTTTAATTCTTCCATTTGCGAAATAAAATTGTTTATTCTGTGTATAACGTTAATTTTGTTTTAACGAGAAGAAGAGGAAACACGCGGCCCGTCACATCGCAAACTGCACTTTAATTACTAAAAAGATTTTACTCATCGAAAATTCAGATTGAAATATTTTTATCTATATTCTCACCTTGAGAAATGAGATTGTCTTACGTTATCTATGTCTTCAAGCTAAGCCGCGATGTAGAAAAAATATCAAAAGCTGCGAGATTAAATTTAAACGTGTTCGTTTCTTTCTTGAGTTTTTGAGAGGCAAATTAAAAAATCAGATATGTTTATAGCAACTGCTACCATCAAGGTACATTAGAACTTCAGCTGGCGAAAACTTTAAGTCGGCCTCGACCACTCGTGGCATCGGATCAAAAAAGGAAAAAATAAAAAAGAAGAAAAGGGGGAAAGAAAAAGAGAGAAACAAAAAGGCTCCTAATTACTGAAACGATTTTAGGATAGAACTGTATAAACAAAGTTTACCAAGACAAATTTTACTGAACATTGCAGAAATAAATAGTCCATATACTAATTAAAATCACGCTAATAGAGGTCTATTTGGTCAATTTTTTCCTTCTTCTTCTAATGACTAGGGCAGTAGAGAAGGAAGAAGAAAATTGACTAATTAGACATCTATTTGCAAGATTTTATTTTAGTATATGGACTCTAAGAGTTTGGTATATGGTACTACTAGAAGTCTAATTAGTCAATTTTCAACTTACAAGTAATGAACAAATTGCAGGCTAAAACTGCCTAAAATCAATCTGAGAGGGCTAATTTTTTATAAAATTCCCTGGGGGAGGCCCCCCGACCATCTTGATCGGGGGGGGGGGGGGGGGGGGGGGGAGGACCCCCAAACACCATCAGCAAATGCCCCCTCCCCTCCTCCTCCGACTCACTCTGGATCCGCCACTCTTTATGGAGAATGCAGTTTGATACCTGTCATAGTAATTTTGATGATACCTCCCAGATTCCACCATCCACGCGCTATACGCTCTACCAATCTGCCGTACTATAAGGAAAAACGCCGTATGGACCTTCAGGGGTCGCCATACTTCCTTTAATAATCTACGAATTTATTAGGAAAATTCTGAATATTTTTCCCCCAGTTTCTCAGACGGTCTTGTTCACGATTTAATCCAAAATATCCGAGAATTTAAAGGAAAACTACGCATAATTTTCTTCAAAAATACATGTTTTATTCGGGGAATTTTGTCAACTCTCGAGTGTTCATACGGCGTTCTTCCTTAGCACGGCAGCAATGCACACCGGCGCTCGACGAGCCTCCAGCATCTGGGATTTTCGGTGCCGCGGACAAAGAGCATCCCGACGAGGCACCGGAAAATAATAGGCAGGAAATCATTCCTAATTCCTAGCACAGCACCGTTTCGGAAGCGTGTCCGCCCGCCGCCGGCGTCACCACCGCGGCGGCGCGGAGCGGCAACCCGCCGACACAATTCCCGATTTTGACACGATTCCGGCACGCAAATATAATGGCGCGGCCGACCCGGGGAAAAATGATGGTCGTTTTGTTTGATTTGTTTCGATTATTCGCCAAGTTTTGTGCCCGGCTCGAAAGAATGCCGCCGCCGCATCCTCCCCGCTAATAAGTCATAAATGCAATTATGAGTTTTGCATCCCAGGTTCTACGCTTCACAGAGTTGCCATTGTTTTCGGCTCGTTTCCAGGTCAGTGTTACTAGGGGGGCTCCGGCTCCCTCANCCGAGACCCCATGGGGGCCACTCCGTAATGTTAAAATACTCGGGTTAGGTGCGATAATTTGAAAAAAGCGGGGTGATCTGTTAATCTTAATCTGCCGGGAAATCACGAACAGAAGTCCCACAGATACCAAGAATCATGGCCGGATTCACCTACTTGCCGCCCATGGGCCGCCTGTATTTTTCCGCCCCCTTCTCATTCGTTTTGAAACTCGATACAAACCATCAAATGAACGTGTCAGCGGGGGAGGGGTGCATAAGACGCATTTACTCGTGTTGAAAACATTTTTTGGGAAAGCCCTGTCAATGCTACTGGCAAAAGTTCACGGAACTTTGCGCGAAAGTTAAGTTCCGTAAACCTACCTCTGTGTGGACATGGCCTTCCATTCATAAGAAATGAACGAAAAAATTATGAAAGAACAAACGTAAATGTGGATCATTGATTTTAACTTCCGCCGCCGCGCAGACCGCACCGTGTTTGGCGCAATGTGTGAAGTATTCTGACAGGCTTGTAGGCGCCATGCGTTTCACGCTGACCGCACTCTGTTTGGCGCAATGCGTGAAGTATTCATGCATGCTTGTAGGCGCTACCCGTTTCACGCTGACCGCAATGACCGCACTGTGTTTAATGCAATGCGTGAAGTATTCGTGCAGTCTTGTAGGCGCTAATATGTGTTACATGCCGATCGCCGCGCCGAGGGCTTCTCCTTTTCATCTCAAGTCCTCGTTACAATTTCTTTCGCGCCGTTCCAGGCCAAATTGCGTGTTTGGTCTCTCTCTTAACTCGACTTATTGAAGGTTCTATCTCTTGTATCACTAAGAGACGACAAAATTAGAAACCACTATACTCTCAGGAAATGAGAGATTTTGTCGCCTTCTCTCGTTGGTAATTTTGTTTTTATAAATCTGATTTTTATTACACCTACACTTTAAAAAATTTCAAATTTTTGCCGCCATGCGCCGCGGCCCATGTGGTCCGCGCCCCCTTAATCCGGCTCTGCCAAGAATACTTTAAAATTATCAAAAAATTGATAAAATTAATTAATTTACCGTGATGGCCGGTCATTTTTTCTGCATTTTGTTTCAAAATCAGTCAAAAAGTTTGTTTCTCATATACTCAACAGAAATTATTTACGTTTCAGCCCACCCCTACCCCTCAATAAATTTTCAACTGTAAAGCCTTTCCCTGTCCCCGACCCGTTAGTGTTGAAAAACTCATAATTGCATCACAGCGAAGGCAGATTAGACATTTTGAATGGTAGGGACAGAAGGGGGTCCTGTGGACTGCTACACGGTGGATCGAGACAGTTCGGACATGAAATTTTTGACTGAAACCGCAAATGTTGATGTTTATTTCGTTACATTTTAAATTTCAAGGGTTGCTCAAGGAAGAGAAATTTATGATGAAATCAATGGAACCACTTATTGAACCTCAAAATTCTGTATAAACGGAGTTACAAGCGTTTAAAGTTTCCAATTTTTTGTCCGACCTCTCTTGTTGACTCGATCCACTGTGTGCCACCAGAAAAATGTTGAAATTTTGAAGTATCTGGTACATAGTTTGACTTAATTTCATAATGAATACATTCCAAATATAAGAGCCCCTCTTGCCTCTTTCCTCCGTTACTTTCTTATTTTTTTCCTCCCATTTTCTTCCTCCTTCTTTTCGGGCGAACGGAAGGGAAGCACGCCCCCTACAGGCCCCCCCCCCCCCTTAGATCCGCCTATGCATCACTGTGACGATCACTGCGATCTTGTGGCTCACAAATCATGCCCTACTGGAGGAATCGCTACGGCTAAAACCCCCCAATTATCTGTAATATCCGGGTGACAAATTAAGTGGGCGTCTCGACAGTGTTTTGAATATGGCCGAGAGCCGGGTTAAAGAGGCGTTATTATTGTCGTAGCCGTCTTTCAGTCGGTCCACGCGACACTCGACGCTATTTAACGGATCGTAGCCGATTCAAGTTGTCCGAGGTCTGAAAGACTTCAAGTCGGATGACCTGACGCTGTTATTATTTTTAAGAGTGTTTTGCACCGGTAGCGGCTCCCGGAGCGGAGCGGGCCAACGGTCCACTCATCGGTTAATGAGAGATGCGTTGCTGAACTCAACAATTGCGTCTTGCGAATATAATTTCCCGATGTCAGAACGGTCCCTGCTCACTTCCGTTAAGATTTTCCGTTGACGGTCACTTCAGTGTCGCGTGGGATTTAGAACGCTGTTCTGTTACTTTGCCTTGGTTTTACATAGTTTTCCGATCAAGCTCCTCGGCCTAAGTATGTGTCGAAGGCAATTAGTCAAATCAGGTAGTTTATCAAATGCCTGGGCCGATACTCAAATTTTGACAATTTACGGAATTCTGTAAATTAATGGTGAGAAGTTCACTGGTTTTCAATATTTTGGGAAGCATGACTCTTCAAATCCGAGAACTCTCCTTGTTTCTTCCTTTTTACATGCCTTTAGTACACAGTGGATAATATCTCTTAGCATTTTGAGCATTTGTAGTTGTCGTTTTTTAATTCCTCTTTATTTTTTTCGTCCACTGGTCTCCGGTCACTCATTCACAGAAAAGCGAAGCAAAGGGTCGTGGATAACAAGGACAAGACAGTGGCGTGGCGTGTTTTGCGATATATCGCTAGATCTACCATTTGGAATACCATCTACCAAATGGATCGATAGACAGGGTGTTCGCAGCGAACGCCTTAATAATCGATTCTCTACCATATCTTCGCGCCTCGCCACTGGGATAAGATGATCCATTAGGGGCCATTGAGTAAATAAATCCACAGATAATGGGGATCCGTCGTAACTTGATTTGCCTCAAATAATTGAACTACAATTTGCAATTAGGATCTACTAGTTTTAGCTCATAAAGAAAATCACCCACCTGTAGGAGGAATCAAATGGTACATATGTTGTTCCGAAAATGTGACAAAAATAGTAGTTCCTCGTTTCAAAATATAGTCCAAGTGTAAGATAAGTACCTCCTAATATATAAATTCATACTTTTTAGTCAGAGAGTTATCCGCAATTTTTTTTCTGGTGTCATTTCAAAACCAAGCAAGATATCTCTTTTTTTCGCTGCCCTCAAATATACTTTCGCACTCATCGTGCCGGCATAGGTACTTCCAGCGTCTCACAACACTCGCAGATCGTCGCATTGGGACCCTCCGCTGGGCGCTAATATTTACGATGCCATGTAAAAACGTCGTATGAGCCCTCAGATGTTGCCAAAATTCCTTCGATAAAAAAGGAACTTTTAGGCAAAAACCTGTGAATATTTTCTTCTAACTCCTCTGAGACTTTTACTTCTAATTTAATCTAAAGTACCTAAAAATACCGAGGA